TCACAGACCGCAGATCCCTGAGCGCACTGCACCTTCTCTGGACCGTTGCGTCATCATTACGAACTCAGCCGAATCGAACAGAACCATCCCAGCGGAAAGAATTCTGGATGCCCAAATACTTCTCGAGCGCTTGCTCTCTGTTATTTGATGAAGGGGAACAGGGGGATTAACATCGTCTCTGCATTGCGGCTCGGCAGGAAGCAAGAGGACCCACCCATATTTCGTCCCCTCAAAGTCGTGTGTCAGACGGAAGAGGAATGCCGACGTATTCTGCGACGAACCTCGCGTCACATAGGTGAGCCATATTATCTACTACGTGATCTTTCTCCAGAGGATGGGATAAAAATGAAAAAGGCTGTTGAGGAGCTACGAACACGCCGAGGAAATGGTGAAACTGACCTTCATATTGCGGATTTTTGCGTGGTTCGGAAGACCCTGAGAATCCGTTGGAGACCCATTCTTCTCATACCGGGACAGTAAAGCACACAAATGGACTATGTGTGTTAACCGCCAATGTGCGTAGTCTGAGAAACAAATTTGATGAGATTCAGTTGATTGCCTTGGAGACCCGTCCAGACCTAATGGCCTTCACTGAAACTTGTCTATTCACCGACATCACGGATTCAGATGTGTCTATCCCCGGTTACCAACTCACCCGATCCGATCTACAAGGAGGGAGGTCCGGCGGTGACGTAATAGTCTATTGGAAGACTGACATCAAAGTGCACTTAGTTGAAGCGATCAGTGACAAAGACGATGAGTATGATGCACTCTGGTGTCGTGTTCATGATGGACGGAGTTCTCTCACATTTGGTGTCGTCTACAGAGCGCTTTCAGGATCCGGAGCCCGCTAGCTGGACTCGATCTGGAAGCATGGTGCACGAAAGGATTGTCTTATCGTTGGGGATTTCAGTGCTCCTTCTGTTGACTGGAACCTGTTTCTTTGTGACCGACCTACAGAGTCCTTCGAGGCCAGCTTACTGGAGACTATTCTTCATTGTAATTTGCTCCAAAACGTCACTTCACTAACTCGTATTCCTCCAGATCAGACGCCGCATATCCTGGTTCTCGTGCTCTCCCCAACACAATCACACATCACGAACCTTTCAGTTCTACAGCCCATTGGCAGCAGTGGTCACTGTACTGTCTCATTCCAGTGGTCACATCGCTTCGCTGTTCACAGCCAACGTGCCGACCGTCGGAATTTCTGGCGTGCCGATATAATTCGTTTGAAAACGACCACAAGCATTATCGATTGGAGGATCCCTGACCACCTCAATGTTGACGAAGCGTGACATCACTTTTACTCCAAGCTGACGTTACTCATTGAAAAGGTCATCCCTTCTCCAAAAGAAGACCCTTCTCCAAAGATCCTCCATGGATCTATTGCGAATTGAGATCAATGGTGAAAAGAAGGCGTAAACTATGGGATCGTTTCAGAATTATTCGAGTTGAGCTTGACTACTGCCACTACAAAACGGTCAGGAATGCTTGCAACATAAAAACGCGAGAAACGTCAAAATTACAAACTATCATTAGCTGCACTTTCTAGTACAAACTCCAAGGCGCTCTTCTTATACCTCGAAGCACCAAAGCTGGAAGTGCTGTCCCTGCCTTGTCTCCTTGTCAGCATTTGAACCTGGTCTACGAAGACGTTGAGAAAGCTAGCCTTTTAGCCCAACAATATTCCTCTGTCTACTCGACCGAAACGCTACTCCCAGGTAGAGTTGCACCCACTCTTCCCCTGCTGGAGCACGTGAACCTTACCACTGACGTTGTAATGAAACTTCTACTTGACCTAGACCCGTATTCCTCGCCTGGTCCCGATGGTTTACACCCATTGTTCCTTAAGGCCGTGGCCGGACACATTGCCGCTCTTGTCTGTCAAATTTTCCGTCGTTCCCTTGAGGTCGGGTGGCTTCCAACTGCTTGGAAGGTTGGAATTCTTAAACCCATTTATAAAGGACGGAACCGACAGAATCCAGCCAGCTGTCGTCCCATCTGTCGGACTTCGATTTTGTACAAAGTCATGGAGCGGATTCTGAAACGGGCCCTTCGCCTACATCTCGATGATTTGGAGTTCTTATCTCATGCCCAACGTGATTTCCGAAGGGCGCGTTCATGCGTCACAAATCTAGTAGCTAGGGAAAATGGGCAAGATCCTTAGATGCCGTTAAGCGTCTGGATGCTGTGTTTGTCGATCTCAGTAAGGCTTTTGACAAGGTCCCACATGAGCGGCTCCTCTTCAAACTCCGGGGAATCGGCGTCACTGGCAATTTTTTTTCTTGGGTCTCCGGTCGCTTCATGCAGGTTAACGTTAACGAAGCGCTTTCTGATCAGATTCTCATAACCAGTGGGGTCCCCCAGGGTTCCGTACTCGGCCCCGAACTTTTCAATATCTTCATCAACGACCTGCCATCCGACCTGCAGACCGACTGCTTAATCTACGCCGATGATCTGATGCTGTGGATTGAGGTATCCAATCTGGAAGATGCAGACAAACTTCAAGCGACGCTCGATCAGCTCCACGATTGGTCACTAAAGTGGCAGTTGCCCATTAACCGTGACAAATACGCTGTCCTTCCAATCAGTGCTCCTGCGTCTTTTGGGGCTTAGCATATCGGGGTTTCCTGCTCACAAATGTCAACCAAAAGAGGGATCTAGGTATGATTATGTCTCCTGACCTCAAATCAATCGAGGACACCCGGAAGAGGGTCGCATCCGCCTACAGAATACTTCACGCTATACGGAGAACCTTTTCACGCCTGACCCCAGCACTCTTCAGACTACTCTTTGCTTCACATGTACGCCCAGTTCTCGAGTACGGATTGCCTGCTGCGTACCCGTTCACTAAGTCCGAACGTAACATGATCGAGAAGGTTCAACGGCGTGGATCCAAATCCTTTCCAGAGCTGCAGGACTTATCCTACCTCCTACGGCTCCAACGGTTGGACCTGTTCTCTTTGGATTATCGTCGTCGCCGAGGAGATACAATATTCACTCGGCGTATTCTACGAGGTGAGCTGGGGAGTGAGCTGCAATCGTTTTTTGTCTAAACACAGGTTGTGTAACTCGAAGCCACCGGTGGAAACTTTTCAAATCGCGGCGACTCCGTGTGCGGTCCGATCTGGCCCTATCCACCCGGGTCGTGAATGACTGTAACAGCTTGCCAGAGGCTGTCGTCAATGCGGAGACGGAGGAATGTTTCAAACGACGGTTGGATACCCACTCTCTGAGTGCGCAAGGGTTCTGCTGCCCACAATACAACCATAGCGATCTTCTGCTGAACCTTGTTCCTCAATAATCCCAGCAACCCTCGCAATGTTCGGGAAGTGACGGAGCTGACAAAGGAACTTCCTTCTGCTTTCTACTAACCAATGAACCAATCGCAAGTGGCGGATCCGACGCTCCCATTGATGCTCCTGAGCCTTTTGGGACGTGCCACATTAGTGGGGCGTTGCTCAGAAACTCAATCCTTTAAAAAGACCTCGGCGTGTTGGTGTCATCTGATTCACGGACTACACAGGCTATGTTGCTGCTGCCAACAGGAAATCCCATGCCATAAGAAGAGCCTTTTCACGTTGGACTCCGGATATCCTCAGACCGTTGTTTACTTCCCATGTCTGCCCCATTCTCGAATACGGATTACCTGCCATCTTCCCTTTCACCAAGTTCGAATGTGACCTCATTGAGAAGGTCCAACGGCGGGAATCGAAATACATCTTGGAGGTACGGGACTTGCCCTATCCCCTGAGACTTCAGCGGATGAACCTGTTCTCCCTGGATTATCGCCGATGTCGCGGTGACCTGATTTCCCCCAGGCACATCCTGAGAGGAGAGGTGGGGGCGGGGCTGCAGGCGTGCTTTCATTTCAATGCAAACAGTTCAACTCGAGGCCACAAGTAAAAACTGTTTAAACCTAGAAGGCTCTGGGTTCATCCTGCTCTCTCTCTATCAGCTCACGTAGTCAACGATTGGAACGAGTTACCGAAGCATGTGGTCAATGCCAGACTGAGGAATGTTTCAAGCAAATGTTAGGTTCTTATCTTTTGAGTTTCCACTGTAGCTGTAACGGTCTCTTGTGGATTACCGCATAACATCGAATCGCGGCCTCCATACCGTGATCGGGAAGCGATGGAGCTGACAAATGATTTCTCCTTCTGCTCTCTACAATCCTATGATCCTATGAAGCCGAATTGTAACTCCAAGCAGGTAGACCTAGACGTCGTCCATTCCTCGTCTTTGCATTCTGGTGACAACTGGAAGAAGGCCGCTAGTAGGGGTTTCAGAATGTTGTCGTTAATACGCCGTTCTTTCGGGGTTTAACTGCCGACATATTTGCGAAGCTGTTCTCAGTTTTCATCCGGTCCCATCTGGAATACTGCGTCCAGACTTATCCACCCTACTTTGTTCTGGACAAACTGGAGCTCGAGAGGGTTTTGAGAGTAGGTACCAAATGGGTCGAGCGTCTACTTACCTTGGGTATGTATTCAATGCACTGCCGACTGCTTCGAGGAGACCTAATCCTTACTGCATTGTAACAGGGAAGGTTGCACCGGACTTGAGCTGGCTGTTTAGCCCGGCTAGGTTGCCTTGTCTTCGCGGTCGTCCCATTAAACTACACAAGCCGCGTTCTGACCAGATCAGGGCAGAAAACCGGTTATCGCATAGAGTTATCGAGCGCTGGAACTCGCTTCCAGAAAATGTAGTCAGTGAACCTACGGTTAAGGGTTTCGAGCGTCAGTTAGACGCTCTTGGGTAGCAACACGAAACCTTTCCCTTCTCCTGACCATATCCATATTCAAACTTTTAATTCTTATTCTGTCATTCTCTTCACTCTTTGGTGTTATCCTTCATTTTCATGACTTTCATTCCCCTTTATCTTCCATTTACTTTATACTTCTTTCTTACTTCACGTAACCTACACAGCGCGGACTGCTAGTGCAGGGAACATGGGCAGTAATTGGTTGATCATGGTGTGTTTCGGGTGTTTCGTTTTAGATCTATCAAGAACTAGCACATTATCATTTCCTGGCTCAACGATTTGCTCAAGAAGGAGCACTCAAGGGATTTTCCTATTGTTCCAGTCCATCTGAAACTCAAAATCGTGAGGACCTTACGATTTCCAAAGGATTTACCACGATTTTTCGTGGGTAGGTGCCCATCAATCCTGGTAAATGCTCTGTCCTTCCTGTTGGTGCTCCGTACCTCTAGGGTTTATCACCTTGGTGGTTTTTTGCTCAGGAACGCTGCTTGTGAGAGGGGTTTTGGTGTACTCATGTGGGGATGCATAAGAGGGGACCTGATTTTCACTTATCGTATTTTGACGGGTAAGATTGACCCGGACTTGTCAGGGCTATTCAGTCCCGCTACGTTACCTAATCTCCTCGCTCACTCACTGAAACTGCATAAACCACGGTCTGATCCGATTAGGACGGAAACTCGTTTGTCGCGCCGAGTTATAGATCGCTGGAATTCGCTTCCAGATCACATGGTTAGGGAACCTACGGTTAAGGGTTTTGCGCGCCAGCTCGATGCTCTTGCGTGGCAACAGACAACTTTTCCTTTTTCCTAGTTGACTTCCCTCTTCTCAGTTCTTTTTTTGATGACTCAAATATCTTCGTATTCCACTTGCTTAGCTTTTTCCACTTCCTCTTTTGCCTTCTGCGTTTACTTTTTTCTTTTTCTTACTTCACGTAACCGGCCCAGCAGGGTCTTCTAGGGCAGGATACGTGGGCATTAATTGGTTGGACACGGTGTGATGCGGTCTTTGTTTTAGGTCCATCAGTATTTCAAAGTTCGCCAACTCCTGGTTCAACGACCCGCCGAAGAAGGAACACTCACTGGATCATGCTATCGTTCCAGTCCCGCTTGAACTTGAACTTGAGGACCACGCGGTAGCTCTTCTTTCTGACGTGCTATACTTTCGAGTCTTTTAGGTGAAATTCTCGTGAAGATCTGTGTTTGAGTAGACACTTTTGACGAAATTTGACTATCCTTAAATTTTTCTTTTGGAAGGAATGTATCCAAGTACATGGACTGTGGGAAGAATGTCACCTTACGTTCAAAGGCCGTCCAATGCGCACTGCGCGTCAGCTGGATGCATATGGTTTGCTATAACATTGATAATGATCTTTACCAATATCTTCAGCGCACTACCTCTAAAGGCATCAACTTTCACTGCGATTCGTGTCTAACATTGGTCAGCGACAAGCAACTTCTGACGAACCCTTTTGAACGCACATACTTCTTCCGCGCAAACCGTCTCTAACTCGGACAGCGAGGCACCTATCTCCCCAGTGTGTTTCTCCTCTTCTGAGTATTCTACACCGCAAGGGAAACGAAGCCGCGCGTCCTCCACCACGTTGGACTTAACACCGTTGCCAAGTGAGAACGGGAATGGGCTGATGCCTAAGCCCAAGTCCTATGACCCGCAGTCGCGAGCGCTAGCACCTCCGTAAAAGGGAGAACAACCATAGCTGAGAACAAGGCGTCGAAGAAGATCTCACGGCCCAGTATAAAATCAAATGCCAAAAATGTGGAACTAAAGCTCATCTTAAATAGAGTAGCGTAGCTTGAGGAACTTGTCAGAGAAAAGAAATGTTTCCCAAAGCCAGCATCAACGGAACGAGACAAGCCGCCTGCTTGCAACCGCTGCCTGATAATCACAAACGTCCCATAATCCAACAAAGAGACTCCAGCTGAAAGGATGCTTGACGACCAAGCCTTCCTTAAACGAGTGCTCTCCATGTTTGATGAACGTGAGCAAGGAATAAACCTAATCTCTGATTTTCCCCTTGACAGAAAATAGGAGGACCCAGTCACGTTTCGTCCTCTGAACATCGTCTGTCAGGATGAAGAAGAATGCCAACGCATCCTGAGACGGACCGCGCGCCTCAAGGGAGTAACCTTCTACGTTCTGAAAGACCTCTCCTAGGAGGACCGAGTCCGAATGAGGCAAGCTGTCTACGAGCTGCGAACCCGACGCGCAAATGGAGGAGCCGATCTACACAGTGGCTTTTCCCGTAGTCAAAAAAGCTCAGAGAGCTCGATGGAGGCCACTTCTTCTTCTTCCAAGACCTCAAACATAAAGAACGGACTACAGGTAATACTCGCCCAGTCTCGGAACCAAGTAGATGAGATTCCATTAATTATCTCTGAACAGCAACCGGACCTAATGGCGTTCACCGAAACCTGGCTGTCATCTGTTATATCTGACTCGGAGGTTCATGTTTCAGGATATCAGGTACTTCGATGCGATCGCTTTCGTGGGAGATCTGGAGGCGGAGTAATCCTCCAAATAAAGAACCAACGGCACCCAGTTTGGTCATCAGTGACTTCATTTCGCGATGCCAAGTCAACGCCTGTCCACCTGCAGACTAAACAAGGCCCTCCTAGGTAAGCGGTGACCAGGCATACGTAGCACGTGCCCGAGCCAACGCAACTTATTCACTGCTATCTGTTGTTCCAGCGACATAGCATGATTATCACTACCTAGTACTCGCCTACGCCCATCAGCGTTGCGGACACGCTGGTGCCATATGAAACCAGCAATGCTTCGCAGACAACGATGATCAAAGACTTCAAGGCGCCTCAGATGTTCAAACGAAGGGGCTAAGGCCCACTAACGTAGAGCAGAATGGCCCTCACTGTGGCCTTGTATACACTGCCTTTCCAACAGAGAGAAACTCCCTTCTGTCGCCAAAGATGCCGCAAGTTCAAGAAGGCAGTTCTGGCCTCTGCAATGCGTGAGCTGACGTCAGTTTCTATGCACCCATCATTGCTGATGCAGCAGCCAAGATAAGTGAATTGATCAGCCACGTCGACATTTTCGTTAGCAGGGGTCTAGGGGTCATATACTGGCTGGTGGTCCCGCAGCAACACTTTGCACTTTGAAGGGGTGGAGCGCATACCAAATAATGTGACCATCCTATACAGGTCTTTCAGGATTGATTGTGCCGCCGCAACATCGTCAAAAATCAAGACGACATCATCCGCATAATCAAAACCAACTAATCCTTCACCAGGGAACACCTCAACGCCTACATCGTGCGATTCCGCAAGGGAACACTCCATGATAGAATCCACGACGAAATCGAACAAAAATGGGGAAATCGGACAATCCTGAGGAACAGCACTTGTGCTCGGAAAGCTATCTGATAGGCCACCGTAGACGCTGACGCGGCCTGTAGTGTTCGTGTGTAGAGCACAAAGGATGCTCACATATTTCGTGGGAACACATTTCCATGCAAGCATTTCGAACAGAATCGATCGATCGACGGAATCGAACGCACTCTTGAAATCGAGGAACACAGCTATTGTCGGTATGCGGTATGCGTGGCGCTGCTTTAGCAACTGCCGCGCAATCAATATATGGTCTATAGAGCCAGGTCCTGGGCGGAAACCTGCCTGCTCTTCCCTAATCCGAGATTTCCGTTCCACAGTGAGGCGACGAACGAGAATCGAGGCCATTAATTTTGTCACAATTGGCGTTAGGCTAGTACTCATGCGTCAGTCTCGGCTACTGCTCTTCTTGTATATCGCCATTATAATCGATTCCGTCCAGTTAGCCGGGACATTTCCTTCCACATACGTTCGAATAGGGTCAGTGGTTTGCAGAGGACCTCACCACCATCCTTAAATAGTGCAGGTGGGAGTGAATCCGGGCCAGCGGCACGAAAACCATTGAGAGCTGTGATCGCGTTTCGGACCTCGGCCTCCGATGGAGGCTCTAAACTAACTGTCAGTGGCTCGTCCTGCATCATCTGAGTAGGAAGAGTTACGGGAGTAGTGGGCCAACTGAATTGATCTTGAATGTCTTCCGCCCAACGAGCCATACGGCGCTCCTTATTGTCCATCAGTGCATCCGCGCTGTCTCTGAGTGCCTCACTGACGCCTGGTTTACTAGGACCAGTGTTGCGGATCAGCTGGAAGAGCTTGCGGTAATTGTCTACTGCTTCTGCCTCCTCCATCTCTTGAGCCCGACTGGTCCACCATGCTTCCATAGCAGCACGTAAGCTCCGCTTTATTTCACGCCTAATAGCCCGTCTGGTCACATTGTGCTCAGAGCCAGCCGGGAGGTTTCTTCTAGATTCCAACAGGCTCACCGACCTCTGGGATATCCATTGATTGGTGCACTGACGATTGATAGTGTCACAAGCAGATGCTCCTGCGTTGTGCATGGCGGCCGAGTTCACATTCGGTGTCATTAGGATAAGACAGCGAAAGTTCGGTATGCAGTGCGTCTTGAAAGGCTTGCATGACTGAGGGCTGAGACCATTTCTCAGTTGCCAATCGGAGGGGACTGTTGGTGCGCCTCCCGGTAAAGTTCATGGAGAAACGACAGCGTACCAAGGCATGATCAGAGTCGACGTAGGTACTCCAGTATGAGCGGCAATCTAGGAGGGAAGCACGACACCTGTTACCTATGGCTATGTGGTCTACTTGGGTCCATCGCTGGCCAGCTACAGTGGGACGTCAAGTGGCACTTTGGCGCCCACTGTGTCTAAACGCAGTGCTTCTAAGAAACAACTGCACACAGATGCAGCAGACGCTTGCCGTTGTCAGTCCGTTCGGAGTTAATCCCGCGATTACCACCCAGCTGAGATCCTGAAGAGCTCAGACGCCCTACTTGCGCATTCATATCCACTGCAAGTACTATAATAGCTGAATTAGTAGCACTGCGTAGTAGGGCGTTCAGTTCCTGATAGAATGTGTCCTTGACAGCCTTTAAACTGCAGTCGGTGTGAGCATAAGCGGAAATCACAAACAAACAGCGTTTTGTACTACTTCGTGACTCCACATTGGCTGATGTCGTCAAACGGGCTGCACATAAATGGCTGTTCACCGAAATCCAACCAACGAACAATGGCTCAGCCTTGGAGCTTAGAATGATACCTACACGAGGTTGACCCGTGTGTGCTGCATCGGCGTCTCCGGTTGTGTGCAACCAATATTGAGAGGACAAGCCGGGTGCAGTTAATTCAATAACCCCGTTAGAGTCATTGCTCCTAGTTTCGGACACACAACACACAACAATACCCAGTGTGTTCAATATATATATATATATATATATATATATATATATATATATATTTGCAAAAGTCTGTTAACAGACATAATGCCATCAGAAACCATGGGATTCAAACGAAGGTACAGAAACAGTAAAATAAAACACAACACAACAATGTCCATGGTTTCCTCAGAGGGCGAGATACTACCCGGTTGCCGAAGCTGAAGTAGGGTGTTGACTTAGGGGACACCACCCCGAGCCTTTAGCTGAATAGCCTGCCCGCAAGGCAGCGGAGCGAATTCAGGGAATCGCGCCCTTTGGGAGCCGGTGACTGATTGCTCAGTTCATACGCCTTTTGTTTGTTCCTTTGTCAAACCGGGGCCCAATGCTCCCCAGAAGTACAGCATAAGGTTGCTGGAATACAATGCTTCGCCAGAATGAAGCAAGGGGCAGTGACTTTATTTAGTGGCGAGTCACATCCGCCACGTCACAGTGTTGTTAAACGGACATATGTGGCTTTTTATAGGGAGAACGCTTGCCAGGCGAAAACCCACCGTGTCCTGGAACACTGCCGCCGAACCATTTGCTGGAACGGGAAAATCCCGAACCACCCAGCTGGCACCACGAGGAGGTTGTTCGGCAAGCCAGCAAGGTGCGTGCGAGTGCAGCCTGTTGAGCTATTTGTCTTAGAGTGCGAACGTTGAACATCGCCAAGTAAACGGGACAGCGTGGCGTTATAAGGGGCTGTTACCGATAGGCGACCGATGGGTGTTGTGGGAAGGTGGTTGCAGATGGTTCTACTTCAGTGGCATTTCGGTTGCTGTCAATTATGTTGGAATGTATATGATGTTAGTATTTGTGGTCGGGATGGGAGTAAGATAAACAGGTGGAAAAGAAAGAGGGGCGGCACCAGCAGTAGCATGTTTTGGCTTATCCGCCCTGCTGTATGCGGCAGATAAGGCGACCCTTGATAATCTGCGCGACGGCCGATTCAGGATGAAGTTTATGTTGGAAGAAGAAGTCATGATTGTATGCGGCCTGAGATGCTCTTTGGGCGACCTGACCTAGACAGGAGTACAATTAGGGTCTAAAGCCCGTCCGCAAGGCAGCAGAGAGGTGTCAATGATTTCGTTTTACAGAAATGGACGCCATACCATTTCCAACCCTCAACCTGGAGGACCAGGAGACTGAGTTTGTCTGACCTCTCCCTATTGACCAACCTGGTTAGGAGTATCTCTCAAGGTGCCCGCAGGCACCACCCAGTATAACTCAATGGGTCAACGAGGTGCGCAAACCGTCGCACCACGTTAAGGTCCAATCTGCTTTCGACGGGTGGCAATGTCAGCTTTCAGCGGGACTTCCCACTGGTAGATCGACTGAAGTCAAAGTAAGGCATCAAAGGCCTCAAGGACTAGCGCGCGACTTGTGGGCATGGTTTTCGTCCTGTGCGTCTTTAGGTGATCAACCGGAGGTCAATTCTTTAACAGAACATGTCTTGGAAACGCATGACGCAGGGCTGGTCTTTTCGATTTCCTTCGTGTAGTGCTTATGATTGTTGGTAGCCTAACTAACAAGGTACGCAAGGTGGGTTTACTTGTATCCAAATCTCGTACCGACATACTCGTTTCCACTGTAACGTGGATTGCTCAGGATATCACGGCCACTGAAGTGTGTTTACCTGGATACGCGCTGCTGATATGTGATCACTTCGTTGGCAGCCACAGTGGGGCATCGCTCTTTATGTGAGCTGTAAACTATGTGTTGTGGACCTGTGTTTTCCAAGTGCCGGATCAAACTGTCGAAGCCCTGTCGACTGTTGTGTGCACTTCCTCTACCCAGTTTACAATTGTTTTGGTATATCGAAGTTCTGGAAGTATCTCCAAGGAGGTTAATTATTTTATTCGTACTCAGACTGCAATTAGACGTCTAGTACTGAGGGATATCAACATCTCTCAGGTCTGTTGGACTGATC